AATCTCCTCTATTTTTTGAAACCTAATAAACATTAATAATTTAAATAAATTATATATCAATTAGTGTTAAACTAGTAATTAAAATGTATTTAACTAAAAATATTCTACACTTCATATACAACAAGTAGGGGTGGACACGGTACGGTTCCGGGACGGTTCCAGAACCGCCGGTTCCGGTACCGCCACCCCATGTAACCGGAACCGTCACCGTGCCGGCCGGTACCGGTTCCGGTTTAAGGAAAGAATTGTTTAAGGAAAGAATGAAATAAAATTGTAAATTTGCAATTGTTTAAGGAAAGAATGAAATAAAAAATCTAAAAATGTAGTTGTTATTTAAATATTGAAAATGAGTAATACACTAACTGAAGAACAACCACATTTAATATCCTGACGGTTCAAAAAAAGCGACGAGGTAAAGAACCGTAAAAAAACCCTCGAAGGAGCTTATATATCGCTCACCTAAAAAAAATAATTACATATTTACATTAACATAAAAAAAATTTTATAACTTATTCTTCAGAATTCGGACTTTCATCTGTGGTTGCATTCATGTAATGCTCCGATTCGAGTTGGTACGATGACTCTTGAGCCCGACGTCTTGCCAAGAGCCAATCTTGGTTGCAAACTAGTGTTTCAAGAGATTCAGCGTTAAGACAACTTCGGTAGTCGGTTAGAATGTTCCCGCCAGCACTGAATTCTCGTTCAACTGCTACGGTTGATACTGGGACGGACAACACTTATCTTGCTAGCATGCCGAGACATAGGAACATGTGTTCGTTCCGCTTCCACCATCCGAGCACGTCAAAATCGACATCTTTGTCATCGTAATCGCATGGCACACCCTGGTACATAGCAAGTTCGTTGTGCCAGCTTACTGTTGTACCACTTGAACTCATCGAAGACTGGGCACGCTTCCCTTTCTTTGCAAGAAGGTCACCGACTATGCCGGCAAAACCTTTTTTTGATTTCGGGGGCGGAGGTGGTGCAGTTTCTTCTTGTACAGTACCGTATAACCCTTGATATATTCCTTAAACAAATCCTCAAAAAGAGTTATAGCATTATCTCTTTCATTTTTCCATTCTACTAAATAGCTGTAGTAATAACTATTTTTATCTAAAAAACAACCGTAGTAATACTCAATTAGAATTTTAAAATTTTCAATCTTAAATCGTGGATCACAAATAATACCTATTTTATAAATATCAAGAATGTACAAATAATAAGTACACCATTTATCTCTCATAGGAGAGACATAAGGGTACAAATCTGGATCAGCCATACTTTCACGAAAACATGTTGCAATTGTAATGCACTCTTTAAAAAATGTATTTGTAGTTGGTTGGTAAACATGGGAAAAAGTAATTGTTGCGTTATTAAAAACTTCTAATACGGCATTCAATTTTTCAACAATAACAAATTCAAAAGGATTAATGATTATACGAAACTCATCCTTAAAAAATTCAGCAATTTCCTCTTTATATCTTAGGATCTGTGCAATCAATTTGTAAGTACTATTCCATCTAATGTTTATATCTCTGGCAAAACTTATTTCTTTTTTACCCTTAGACTTACAGAACATCTTTTAGGATCTTGAAAAAAGACGAGCCCCCCAAATTTTTTAATTCCTTCTTTAATATTCGTCAAAACTCCGCCCATAGCTTGTAGTCCCTGTTGAACACATAATTTTAAAACATGACAGGCACACTGTTGATGCAGAAATCTACCCATAGTCGTAGACGGTGGGCAAATTTCTCTAAGTCTAGGAATAGGAGCAGTATTATTAGTAGCATTATCAAAACCAAATGAAAAAACTTTTTCAGATAAGTTATATTCCCGCAGAATACTCTGAAGCAATAGAAAAATATTTTCAGCAGTATGCTGATCATTGAAATCACGAAATGCAAGAACACGTGTATGCATAATCCAATCACTATCTATCCAATGACAAGTAACACCCATATAAGACAAATTATGATAAGTTTCACCCCAAATATCAGAACAAATAGCAACACGAGAATTAAAATTGAGAAAAAAAATTTCCCAAATTAATTTTTTCCATTTTATACTGGCGAATAATTTCTCGTTTAATTGTTTTTCTTGAAAACCTCGTGCTTGAGGGTTTAATACCTATTGACAATAATCAAGAAAACCAAGTTTTTCAGAAAACATGTATGGCAAATTTTCTTCACAAATCATTTCGTCCATTTTTTGCTTATTTTGCTCGTCGCTATAAGCAAAAAGGCCGCCCTTACCTCTGTTAGCAAACCGAGAAATTTGGGTTTGCACTTCTTGTCGTCCCTTTTTTTTAGCCTCGTATTTGGCGTACTCCACGGGATGCCTCGACCTTAGGTGTTTTTCCGGACCGCCATAACCGCCGGAAACTCCCATTTTTATGATGGTACCGCAATGTTTACAAGTTCCATAAACTATTTCATCTTTTGTGTCTTTGTCAAAATGATAAACAAATAAATCTAATTTATATTTTTTTTACCTTTGTCCGGACCTCGAGAGGTCTCGGGCTCACCTGCCTCCACGTCGACGTCGTTGCTTTGCGGTGTAGGCTCATCGTCCCCGTCAAGATTATCCAGTCCTGCTTCATCAACATCCTCGAATAGACTATCAAGAGTGGGGAGATTCGCGTCTCCTCTACCAGAATAAATCTGGTTGAATTCTTCATCCGTCATAGCGTCCCCGATTAAATGATCT